TTTCCAATAGTTTACAATGTGATAATACAAGGGAATATATACTAGGAGAATCCTAGGTATATTAGGAAAATACAATACAAGGAAACCTAGGCATATATGGTAACTAGGATATACACAATATAATAATATATACGTAATATATTAAATATAGAAGGACTATATTTAACATGCTCCCAACGGCACTGGCGATGATTGTCGGATCCCCAAGCTATCACGAAATTCTGAGAAGACCATGGTTGGGAGGCCCTTTGTAAAGATGTCCGCATATTGCAGGGAGGAAGGTACATGGAGGACTCGTATGTGTCCAAGGGCTACCTTGTCTCGGACGAAGTGGATATCAACCTCGATATGCCTTTGTGCGTTGGTGTTTGACAGGATTGGCAGAGAGATAAACAGCACTAACATTGTCACAGAACACCAAGGTGGAGCGGCTTAGAGGTTGCTGAAGCTCTAGGAGTAAGTTGCGTACCCAACTAACTTCAGCTACGGCATTTGCTATAGCCCTGTATTCGGCCTCTGCACTTGAGCGCGACGTGGTCTGCTGGCGCTTAGTAGACCATGAGATGAGATTGTCACCGAGGAAAATGCAGTATCCAGTCGTGGACCGACGAGTATCAGGACAACCGGCCCAATCAGCATCCGAGTAGGCCCGCATAGAATCTGTTGGCGATGGAGAGATAGAAATGCCATGAGTGGGTGTGCCATGTAGATACCGCAATACCCGTTTCATTGCCGTAACATGTGGTGTGCGTGGGTCATGGAGGAAAAGACACAGCTGCTGGACGGCATATGTGATGTCAGGACGGGTGAAAGTGAGGTACTGCAGTGCCCCGACGATGGATCGGTACATAGAAGGATCCGGCGCTGGTGGTCGTGCTGAGGCCGATAGCTTCCCTCGTGTGTCAACTGGGGTAGAGGCCGATTTGCACGAGAGCATGCCTGCACGATCAAGAATGTCATAGAGGAACTGAGTCTGTGTGAGAAACAATCCATGAGCCGTGCGCTGGACATTGATCCCCAAAAAGAAGTGGAGATCCCCCATATCTGTCATAGCAAATTCCCCTTTTAGCCGCTGAATAATTTTCTGAAGGAGAGCCTGGGTGGAGGCTGTGAGTATGATGTCATCCACATACAAGAGTAAGAACGCCATATGTGATCCCTGACCAAAAGTGAACAAGGAAGTATCGCTCTTGCAGCCGCGGAACCCGATAGAGAGAAGGAACCCTGTGAAACGTTGATACCAGGACCGCGGTGCTTGTTTCAGTCCATAGAGCGCCTTGTTCAGTTTGCAGACGTAGTGAGGGCGAGCAGGATCCTGAAAGCCAGATGGTTGTGCTGTGTAGACAGTCTCTGTGAGAGAACCATGAAGAAAGGCGTTCTTGACATCTAGCTGGTGGATCTGCCACCCGCGAGAGACAGCCAAGCTAAGGATGATACGAATAGTTGCAGGCTTGACCACTGGGCTGAATGTCTCGTCATAGTCAATCCCATGGCGCTGATTGAACCCACGGACAACCCATCGTGCCTTATACCTGGACAGTTCACCTGTAGGGCTAAGTTTGTGCCTGAAAAGCCATTTACCAGAAATAACATTTTGGGTAGGGGAGGGTGGTACCAAATCCCATGTATTGTTAGCAATCAAAGCATTATATTCATCCTGCATAGCATTGTACCAGTTTGGATCCTTGAGTGCACTACGGTAGGTAGGGGGAATGGGGGAGACCTCGGCAACGGTGTTGAGGTTAAGTATTTGTTTAGGACAGAAGATCTCGGCTTTCGCACGAGTGACCATGGGATG